AGTTCAGCTTTTTTCGGGCTTCCATGTCCTTTGCTAGTTATCCAACTAATGGAAAATTATGTTGTGAACTGGAAGCGAGCAACTGGCAATATGTCAAGTCTGTCTTAAAGTTTATTTCAACTTGACACTTGGTTTTGCCATATTTTTTGTCGGTTCTCATTTTACGAGATAGAATTTTTGCTGTCGATTTTTCGAGGGGCGTTGGGAGGCGAAAGATTTGACAGCTGCACTTGGGATTTGTGTGGAAGTTTGTTCGGTGTTCAATTGCTTGAAAGTTTCGCCACGGCAAAGTTGGCCAATAACTGACAGCCCAATGCAGGGCTATAGATAAGCCACTCGTGCCACTGCCTCGCCAATGAAAACATTAATTATTTCTGGTGTAACACCAATCCGACCAACTTTCATGACAGGCGGCGAACAATGCCGGCGATGACTCTATAATGAGCATAATTAAGCCACACAATGTGCATTTAAATTATAAATTAATTGAGCATTGAGTGGGTCTGAAGGGCAATTGCAACAAACACAAAAAAACAAAACGGAAAATCGGGAAAATTAAAACCACAAACAATAGCAGCAGAAGAACTTTATGAAACTGTTCAAACTGTTGTTTACATTTAGACAACTAATTCATTTATGAGTTAAATTAAGAGAAAAACACACAAAAAGAGGCTTAATGGGATTTCATTTTTTCGTTCCATTACTTACTGTTCGAATACTTAATCAGCGAATTTCAATTTTTATTTACACAAACTTGGCCCTGCCAAAAAAGAAAAATTTTATACAAATTGAAGCCCAACGAGCCAACATTTTATGACACATTTTTCACAGCAAAACGCTGACAATTCAATTGAAATGCAAGTTCGGTGGGCGGGGCTTAAAAAAAGGAGTTCTTGCAATGCTGTCATCGAAACCCCGCCCGCCTGAAAAATGAAAATGAAAAAAATAGGAAAAACCGAGGCAAACAGGAATAAAACTCTGGCCAAAGAAATTAAAACAAGCAGCAGGATCTCCAACGAAACAAAAAAAGGTTGGAAGTGGAGGGTTAAAGGGTTGTAAAGCATTCGAAAAAAATGCAAATATGTATGTCAATGTAAAACAGAAGCTGCAACCGGGGTACCATCATATATAAGAGTGCTCTCGTTCTCTTCTCCTATTTTTCCACTATCCAAAAAGGACAATGAAAGGACATAAAAAATGTAGGACCTGCCGGGGTGGTTTGATGAAGAAGGACCCTACTGAATGACATGACTAAAAATACATAAAAATAAAGAGAAAAGAAATGCCAAAACAAAAGAAATGATGAGAGTGTTGATGGAAATAAAGGACGAAGGAGGAAAGACGTAGAACAGACCAAACGAGAGGCATCGAAGTGGCAATGCACTCGCCGAAAGAGGAAAACCAGTTGGAGATAATGCAGAACCGAAAGAAAACCCAGAAAATTCGTAGAAGAAAGAAAGAAAACGGAACGAAAAAATAAATTGGGTTAAACAGTGGGTATAATGGGTGTGAGAAGAAGACATATTTCATTTAAATGCGGAAAAAATATACAATTAGAGAGCAAACGTAAACAGACAACGGAAAGAGGAAGGAAACGGAAACTTCGAGGCAAAATGGAAAAGGGAAATGTGTGGAAAAGCTCTTTTAATTTGCTCTAGCATTTTTAAGTATTGGTTGATGTTTTGTTCTTCTGGTTTGATATTAAGTTCGAATGAAAAAATTTCTTTAAAGAAAGAAAAAAAATGAGAGTTATTTTTAAACTAAGAAAACTTTATTCTTAGGGCAAATATATAAAAATAGTTCCACTTTAATATTTATTAATTATTCCAAGCTTTTAAAACAGCTAACCAAAACTGCCATTAACCAACTTAAGATATTTCCTACCGCAAAAACCATCCTGATCATCGTTATGTCCTTCATCGCTTCGATGGAAATCGTATATTTACGAGTATTTTTGCATTTCCTTGCTTTCTCACAGCTTTTTCGACCATTTTTTTGCTTGACATAAATTAAATTGCGCATTTGGTCGGTCCTGGGAATATATTCGCTTCTGTGGGTTGGTATATTTATATATATATATATAAATACATATATATATATATATATTGGCCCCCACTTTGCACTAAAAGGTATGCATATATGTGCTGAAGCGGGATGCAATATAAAAAGCGAAATGCAGCCAATAAAATATTGACAGTCCGTTGACCAAAACGTAGCCAACGGAAAACTTTGTGTAAACACCAGAGGGAATACAAGACAAAGGATGTACAAGTATATATTTGTATAGCAGCAAAGTGCACACATACATGTATAAAGTAATTCAGTTTTTTTGTAAATAAATATGTATTTATGTTTTTTAACCTCACAGAGCTGCAATCGGACGCTCATTAGCTGATTTTCAACGGACCTAACTAGATTCCAGATACATAAATTACAGGCGCGAGTCACAGGATGTTACAATAAACAGATTTATAAATTGCCGGCGGCAGCCAGCAGCTGGCCATTATTTATGGCCGTAGGTTGACAGACAGTTTTCCCCTTTCTCGAATACAGTTTTTCCTTACTTTGCAGACGGTCCCTATTTTCCAGGTTAGACACTTTTCACCGCAACTTCTTTTTGTTTACTTTCCCGCTAATTGGCAATGGCTTACTTTTGTACAAGTCCCTTCAGTCCACTGAGGTTTTCTTTTGACTTTCATTTCCTCTTTAAAGATTGAGCTTTTTTTAATTATATGCTTTTGCAGTATCCTTGAGAGTTTCTGGCCCCGATAAAACTGATGATGGGCCACACACCTGCGGCGTAATTTTCTACACTTTGCAGCATTTTTTCTTTCAGCTCCGGCATCTTATCATTTATCAGCAGTCGGGGAAGATCAAAAGCGTTGGCTGGCGCGAGCCATCAAAAGCAGGGATATATATACTATATGTTGTAGGGGCTCTACTTTGCAATTTCTCACCGTGCTGACCTCATCCTGTCCTCCCTCCTAAATTCCTATCTAAGCCAAGTCTGTTATGTGGGTCGAAATGCTGCGACTGGTAGCCATGCCATTTGCCCAAATGAAACTAATTTTGTTGATTGTACATTCGCGCTGGTGGAATGGAGCACCAGCAGATGCGAAGATGCGAAGCTTTATAGCCATCGACAGTTGATATATGGGTGGTTGGGGGCGTGGCCCAGGGTTTTAGTGGCTGCTGTCAGTTTAGAGCAATCTTTTCTCGTTTTTTTTGGTATCTATACTTTATATTTAACGGGTACATTGTATACCAAAACTCTTTTAAAGCTCAAAAATTACAAAACAAAGTGCTTTGCTTGTCCATAAAATAGACAGATTTCCTAGATGGCTTCCCCACATATAGTCTAAGAAGGGTATCTCATAGTCTTATTGGATTTTCTACCATAATCCCCTTTCATTCTGTGCCCTGTCAAGTGAGATGTTCGTAGGAGAAAATGTAGCTGTTGTGAAATTATCTTTAATTGATTGAAATCTCTTTGTCTCATCGGTTGAAATTACCTCAGCTGTGTTGAGCTGTCTAATCGGGCCGGGGGTGGTTGAAGGGATCAAATCAATATGTATTTACTGCAATCAATGGGAATCGGTCCGTCAGGGGACATCATCAATCCAGTTATTCCCTTTGTCCCTGGCGAATTATTGGAGACTCTGAACCTGCTGCAGTGCTCTTTCGCCTTATGACATTTTATTATACCAATTAGACTTTTCTTCTTTTGCATTGTTTCTGGCTCCCTCGTTTCTCGTGACTGGGAGACATTTTCCTCGAGACCATTGTTCCCACCGGATGGAATTTTCTCGTTTCCCTTATTCTGCTTTTGTGTTGGTTCTGGGTTTTTCCCTCGTCTTTTGCCTTTTCTTACACCTATTTCCAGCTGATGACTGCTCGGAATTTACGGCTCTCGATTGTGTTTTAACATTTATTCATAGAGTGTGGGCAAGTGGACTGTGGAGCCGTGTCCTGGTTGTCCTGCTGCCACTTCACTGGCAACACACATTTCTCAAATGTTGCAACACTTGTTCACCGGTTGTTGTTGCTGTTGCTGTTGTTGCCTCATGCTCAGGCACACAAATGACATTTACATTTTGAGCACATAATGTTGGCAGAATTTGTAGCTAGTAGTTTTTATTTTTCCTCTCTTTTTTGCCCCTTTTTATTTTTACTACCTGTGACCAGCAGGAGCACTCTTGGCCCTGTAGTATTTTTTCGGGTGATAATTGCATACGGCGTCGTGCACTCGACAACAGCAGCAACAACAACGAGTGCACTACAAGTTGCTGGTTGTTGCTGCTGGTGTTGCACTTCTCTGCTGCTGCTTCTCATGTTGCCAGCAACTAACAACTTCCTACTTATATAGGAAGGCCTTCATGGCTTTAATTTCAGCAGAGGCAAGCAAGTTTCACATGACAAAGTTCTACAGTGAAAATAAATACAGTTATAGACTTAATATTGAATGAAAATTATATAAGCAATATAGATATTTTTACTTTTTGTAAACAAGACACACGTTCTAAGATAATAGAAATTTGAGGTCAAACTTGAAGCCATTTTATTTATATATTTTCCCCTGTGTATTTTCTGGCCAAAGGCAAATTATTGAATGTCGAATGGGTAGCCAAATGAAAGAGAGAAATCCTGGCCAACGGCTTAGGCCGTTTATCAACCGAACTGACCAGCAGCTTGACAGGCAATAAATTAAGGGACCTAAATATAAACAGCTGATACAGTTGCTACACTCGACGAGGGCGTTCCATCCAATCCAAATCCAAAGCCCACTTCAAAGAGATTGCCAGGAAAAGCCGCTAAGTCGGAATATGTTGCCCCGGTTGCCGCGTCGGAGAAAAAAAAGGAAGGCTTTAAAAGTCTTTTTGGGGCAAAAGGGAAAGCCACTTTAGACGCATGTGATGCGATGATCAAAGCGTAAGGCACCAGCCAGACAAGGGCGAACTTTATTGAACTAAGTTTGTTACCAAAGCCACCTGTAACCTGAAGGGGGTCAAAGAAGTTGGCAAGTGGCAAAAGGCAGATTGCGGCCTTAAGTGGCTGAAACGCAAGTTGGATTACAGATAAATCAGCATCAAGATGAGCAGCTAAAAATAGAGTGTTGCCAGGCGGAAGGCTAACAAGATTATGCAGTTTGCAGAAAGTTGAGAATAAAGTTTACTCTAACTGGAAAACCGTGGCATCACAATTATTTCCAGTTCCAGTGGAATTTCCGAAACGAATCACATATTACAAAGCTATGAGTATAAGCGAAAAACTTGACAAGGCATACTGTTTATTCCAGATAGTCATGTCGATAAGTTTGTTGACTTTTCTAGTAATATTTTGCTGCGGCTTTTTAGGTCAGCATGAGGCTGGAGGTAAGTAAATATATATTTTGGAAAATATTTTTAATAATCCCTAAAAGCTTTAGCAAATATTATGATTTATTAGTTTTTCCTGAATCATTTTTTGTTAGGACTACAAATAAAATGAATATTAATAAATATTTCTAGCTGACTGCGGAGCCTCTACCTCTGGTGTCTGGAAAGATGATGATGCTGATGTGGAAGATGGAACTTGCAGTCGCTCAGCATTAAACAAAGATAGCGACAATCTCTCAGAGCATTTGGAAGATGATTCTTATCAAAAGGAATCAACTATTGACAGTTCGGAAACAGGAATTCAGGAGAATCCATTTAGTGTCTTTATTAAATTTTTCAAGTTCGTATGGCAGGTTTTAAGTATTTGGATCAATTGGAAATAATAAATGCGACAAGGGAGATATCTGCCAGCAGATCCAAATGGAAATGCTTTGTGTTTTTGCCAGGATATATCAGAGTCAAGTTTTCCTTTTCGTCTTCAGCCATTGTTTTAACGGCTTTGTTCATAACTGTTTGGTTGACGTTTCAGCCAGTAGGACTCTCTTTTATTTCTTCAGTGATTCCTCTTTCTGTTTTTTTTGTTTTTTTGTTGTTTTTTGCTCTTAGCCCCCACGTTGGCATTTTGCAATTTAAGTTATGAAAAACGGTTTCGTTTGGCTTTGTTGCTGAATTGCGCTGTATTGTGGCTTTTGTTTGTATTGTTGCTTTGCATGCATTTCACATGAGCCGGCAGTTGCCGCTCTTTCCATTTGGTTTATTGCGAATTTTATTGTTTTACGGTAGTTTATGGCAAATGCCATACACCGAGCCGTGTAAATATTTGTTCTAGGCCATATCAACCATCGCCCCCTGCATTCCGGCTCTCTCCTTTGAGCCAATTTTCACAGACACAGACACTGGGCTACAAACATGCTTAAATATGCACAAGTTGATAAAGTGAAATGTTTGCTGGCCCATTTCAATCAGTGTTATGCTGATGGCCCAACTATAAAAAAGGCAGAAGGCATATGAATGCCGAGTAATATCATCAATTTCCATGCAGATGACTTTATTTAAGGTTGAAATTTGGTACGAAATTGAATTATATAACTTATTTTAATGTCTGTGGAGTACATACACTTTGACAGCTTGTTTGCTAAGTGGACAAATATTGATTTATAAGAAAATGTAATTTTATTGAAATTATCACTAATTTTATTTCTTAATTTCACAGTTAGTCCCACAATTAAATACCCAATTAGTTTGTATTTTTTTCGACTAAATTTCTAAAATAATTTTGGCCAAATGTGTCACATAAATAGTTCCTGGCCACATTCATTTGCAACAAAAGTTAATTATACTATATATAAATAAACTGAGGCTGGGGGCGACTTCTGTTTGGGCTATTAGGCTAATGGGCTTGCACAAAACTTTGGCTAGGCCAGAACAAACGAGCTAGCAAACAAACAATCCAGCCAACTGCAGTAAAAACAAAGCGTGTAGAAATAATGTGCTAAATGAACAAAGCCAGGAACCCAGTTCCCTTTTATTTTTTGTGTGTTTGTTGGGGGCGTGCAAATACTTGCAAAATACAAATAAAATTAACTAAAACTCAAACTCAAAGCAAACTCTGAGCCAAAGTCCAACACACAGGCCGAGACCTATCCCTTGTTGTTCTTGTTCTTATTGTTGTTGTTATTTTTCCTGTTGGCTTTGAAAGCCCACCGGAAAATTTTTGGAAAACGCTCAACTCTGAAATAATTAAAAACTAATTAAAGGGGCGGTGCTCGGGCGGTTGGGGCATGTGGCAAGCTGTTGTAAAACTTAATTAACTAAATGAGAGCAAGAACAATAACAACAAAATCGCCATAGAAGTTGTTGTCCAAGCACACACTCTCGCACACGAGGCGTATGAGTAATTTAATCATGTTTCATGCTGTCCTGGCCAAGAGAAGAAGGCAGTCCGAAGAGCTGCGCTCTGTTGACACCCACAGAATGCAATTTGCGCCACAAAAACAAACAAAGAAAATCTTGGGGCGAATGCGGGGAAAATACAAGGCGGCAAACAAAAGTCAAACAAAGTTATATTCCAGATTGGATTTTAAGTTTTTGGATTAGTTGCAGCTCTGCAGATGCTTTCAGCATAATAAGCAACAAGACGGAAAAGTGCGAATATTTACAGAGTACTAAAAAATTCTTACAGCATCTAAGTAAAGCTTAAGTCTGGTTAAGCCTTTTCCACTTGAATATTAATTTAGGCAAAAGTTAGCTTGCTTTTTTGGTCTAAAAAATGCTTTACATTTTGCTTATGGTTAGTGTCTAGAAAAATTAAATTTGTTAAATAAAAAGTAGGAGAAAAACACAAAACAAGAAAAGAGTTAAGTATTTAATATTTGAAATCAATAGTATTGACTGTCTCCTTTTTGTTTGTCTTGATTATTATTCACTTTCAAGGGATTCCAATGACAGGCAGGCATGTGAGTCCATAGACAATAAATATTCCTTTTACTCTCGGTTTAAAGAGGACTTTCCTGTGGCTTTTACTTGTTGTTCTACTCCCAGCCGCCATCACTTTGCCTTGGGGCAACATTCTGCTATTGACTTGCATATTTGCCTTTCCACTCCACTCGAATCAAACCCAACCAGCCACCTCACCTCTCACCTGGGCATCAAGACCACTCCACGCACGTGCCATCAAAGTGAAATAGAAACAAACGGGAGAAAGGCAATGGGATACCAAGGAGTCGGGTTTGTTCTACACTCCTTTCTTTGCCGTCTGGCTTAAGTACGTTGTTTGCCGAGTCGTAAAGTACGGGTATATATACATATCTATAGACCCCACATAATGCCAAAGGTGAGAGACTGAGTCTGATATCCATAAACAAGGACCTCCTGCACTTGGACTTCACTTTCTGCCTTGGCCATTGATGAAAAGCGACAGCTTTACTGTGCAACGCACTAGATTGAAAAGTGGAAAACAAAAGAAAACTTCTACGGCATTCATTTCTCACAAATGCCTGCGCTCATTGTGGGCCACAACTGATTGCAACCGTTGGCTATAATTCATTTCCCGGGTCCCGGGTCCCCAGCTACGGAGCCTCCATATTGAAAACGCTTTGGCATAGACAAATCTGCGACTCGAATTGCAACCCGCGGTGATTGAATGGCATTACTTTGCAACTGGTCGACTGGGTGGCTGTCGATTGGACGACTGGGCTCCACAGTTTGACCATTTCAAGCTGCTGGATCCCCATCCGCCACTGGCCACTCAATTGGATTTCAGAGGCGGCCATTGTGTGGTCATTGGCCAGAAACAGACTTCATATGGTTAATTGAAATGGCCAGTGAGGAAAGGCCAACTCAAAAACAGTTTCCTATTCAAGGGGGATTGGGGATCTATGACCTTTATGATTTCTTTAAGAAGACCATTGTTCTTGTTGTTCTTACTTGGTAAGTTTCAATTTGAAAAATAATTACTAAATATTTAATGCCGTCACTGATCAAGCTTATAACATACATACTAAGAGAACTTCATCTGCATTTCCATTCAAAGTACTGATATTACCATGTGCAGCTCACTCGGGCGTATACTTAATATCATCTAGAATCATCGCTCCAGCTCAGACATTAAGAGATTTGCACATGGAAACCCTTTGATTGTGTGTCCTACTTCACTACAGAAATGCAAATTATCCAAATCCCCCAAAGGTCTGTTGCCATTTCGATTGCGGCTCGGCTATTGCCCTTTCGTCCTGTTTACGCCTGATTAAAGTCAAACAACAAACATATTCCGAGCTGCAGTTTACCAGACAATCCTATAAACATATACAATTGTGCTCGTAAAAGTGGAATTCTTAATAAATACTTTAAAACTAGTGAAATTAAATTACATTTTTTATAAAGCTAATAGAGTTTTCGAAGTATTCTTTTTATCGAAAGAAACTTTATGAACCTTATCATTGCAGAACAAAATACAAGAGCACTTGAAGCTATTGTCTTCAACGTAGCTATATAAATTCCAGCATTTCTGGTACGAAAAGTCCTCTCTAATCTATGCGGAGAAATGCATGACAATGCCTTGTTGTGTGGGCCAACTTTGGCCCCAATCCTAAATCCTTCGTGTCCTTGGTGGCCAGGATTTGCTTCTCATTAGCAAGAAGTTCCCATTGTTGGCTCCACAGGGACGTGCACGTGTGAGAAAGGATGGCCAGGGATATGGGTTTGTGCAATTCAGTTCTCGCTTTCTCTGCTCCCAAATTATGCAAATTGCTGGAAATTTTGCATTGGATAATTTTCCTATTTGCCCGTAACGCTCAATAAAAAAGCACAAAACCCAAAAAAAATAACATTTTATGCCCCAAGAGATGGCGTGAAATGGCTGCCCATTGAACTCAACAGTTGTACAAATGCACCAACAAAAATAAAAATAAAAATAAAAAACAAATAAAAATAATATAAAAACGAAACAAACTGCGTCGCATTTAATTAAAAACGTAATTACCCATGCTTTTGAACAGCCGAAACGCCTGAAGCCGTACCCAGAGGCTATAAAAACATTATTCGGCAAATTGTTGTAAATTTAATTGTTAAACCCTGCTATATTTTACTGGAGTGTTACTATATTACGGCGATGTGGTCGGTCACATGCAATTTTTTCCCTCGTCACAAATGGTTGCTCACTGAAAAAGAGTTTAATTGCCATATCAATTGTATAATTAACTTACACTCAAAAAATATTAAGAAAATAAGATTTTATTCTATTAAAATTAAAGAAAAATGTAAATTTTTCCATTTATTGCATGTGTTACTGAAATTAAAAAGAATATTAAATATATAAATTTATTTTTAGCAACCTTCCTTTGATTTTTATTTCAGTTTCACAAATAAATTTATACTTTTTGGCAGTAAAAATCTTTAATTTAGAACCACTTAAAAACTAAAAATAAACGTTTTTTTAGCTATTTCCTATTCATGGCTCAACTATCGAATACTACACAACTCCAACTCTCCTTGGATGAGATGGATTATGGATCGAAGTTGGAGAGGTACAAGCATAGCTACAATCTGCTCCCTAGGAATCACCGGGGTGTGATTACCATTAAGGAACTAGAAAATATGATCCATTCTGTAGGTGGCAATCCCGCGAAAGAGGATCTAAAGGACATTTTCCGCGATTCCGATGTGGACGGCAATGGAGAGATCGGCTTCCAGGATTTCTGCTTTGTGATGGCTCGCTATGAATATGAAGAAGAGCATAAGATTTCCGAGTTTTTCAAGACATTCGATACAGAACGCGACACCATCAAATCTGAACTCCTGAATGTAATCAATAAATCTGACTTTCAGAGCGACGAAGAAATCCTTATGCAAGCACTCGGCGAGGAACTTTGTACTAGAAATAATATAACTGGTCCTGGAAAAAAATAATTCTTAACTATTACCAAAAATTTTTAGGAAATAGTTTAAAATTAAAAATGTTTTTATAAAAGATATAAATATATTTTAATCATAAATGGTTTGGTTTTAAACTACAAATTTCCGGATTCAAATTTCTATCGGAGCTTCTTTGTTTTTATTGTCATCTTCAAACATAACCTTTTCCCTAATAACACTTTAACTAAAACAAAATTTAGAGAAAATCAAAATTACTAAAAGCACATTCTCTACGCCTAAAAATTTCTATATTTTGCAAGCACGATGGATGACTTTGATTTCAGTACCCCGCCACCAGAGGCGCGAACCATTCACACGCACACCTTGGATGATGAGCAGCTCAAGGATTGTGAGGCGGCCTTCGCCCTTTTCGACGACGAGAACACAAAGGTAATTCCTATCAAGCTACTAAGAGATTGCCTCAAAGCCTTGGCCCATACACCGCCGGAAAACGAAATACAAGATTATATCACCGAAATCGATACGGATGGATCGGGTGAGCTGTATCTCAGCGATTTTCTTTATATTATGTCAAAGCGTTACGAAAACTCCACTGTCGAAGATGAAGTTATCCTGGCATTCAAAGTCTTTGACAAAGACGGATCTGGTTTTATACACGAGGATGAACTCCGTCATATTATGACTGAAATGGGTGACGATATGGATGAGGATGAGATCGAGGAAATGATTCGCGATGCCGACGCCAACACGGAATTGAAAATTGACTATGTTCGCTTTGTGACGATGATGATGGAGACATAGTTATATTATTATTAATTAGTATGTACAAATAATTAAGTATTATTTTGTATGTTCATTTTTATACATTTTGCAGAACTATCAAATGGACTTAAACTTATCTCAACTGCAGCCCAAATTTATTGTTCATAAAACATGATCACCTGGAATTTCTGCTTGGGAAATATTCCTTCGGCTCCTTTGAAATTCTTGAAGAGAGCTGATATTACGGATATTAAAAAATTATTAACCTTCATTACTCTCATTATTATAAATAAATCAATATTGAAATTTTCAACTTTTTTTTTGAGGAAAACTGTATTGGGACTCATAAACTTTACCAAAACACACACTTAACATTACTTCAAACTTCAAAATGAAAATCTAAAAATAAATTATTCCCAAATTTTAAGTAAGAAAGCTCAGTAATCCCCAAAATTTCCCAGCCCCAACCCCTTAATTCGGCCATGGACTATGAATTCCTGACTCCTCCGCCTGAAGAGCGAATAATTCGCACTAACAACCTCACCGAAGAACAGCTCAAGGATCTGGAGATGGCATTTGCCCTGTTCGACGTCGATGACCATAAGGTCATATCCATAAAGCATCTCGGACAGCTTATGCAGACAGTAGCCCAATATCCCACTGATACCGAGCTGCAAGACATATATACAGAAATCGATTCAGATGGTTCGGGGGAATTATATCTCAGTGATTTTCTGTATATAATGTCAAAAAGATATGAGAACATGACGAAGGAGGATGAGATCATCGCTGCTTTTAGGGTATTCGACCAAGAGGGAACTGGTGTTATATCCGAATCGGAATTCCGTCACATTATGAAGAACATGGGTGAGCAGATGACAGACGAAGAGGTGGAGGAGATCATCCGGGATGCTGACTCCGATAATGAGGGAAACATAGACTATGTTCGATTTGTCAACATGATGTCCACCTTATGAGAAGTAGGCCTAGGGGTTTGGGAGCCTGACCTTTCAAATTCAAAAACTATTTCGGCATATACTCTGTAGTAAATTCAAACAATCTCTTGCCCTTAAAGCATTTCTAAACATATATTCTGATATATTCTGAAATTATTCAATAATGTCCGAGTTAACGGAGGAGCAGATAGCTGAGTTCAAGGACGCCTTTGTGCAGTTTGATAAGGAAGGAACCGGCAAGATCGCCACCCGTGAACTGGGCACCTTGATGCGGACTCTGGGTCAGAATCCTACTGAAGGTGAACTACAGGACTTGATAGCGGATATTGATAGCAACGGCAATGGCCAGCTGGACTTCAGTGGATTCTGTGCCATCATGGCAAAACAAATGCGCGAAACTGACACCGAGGAGGAGACAAGAGAAGCCTTTAAGATCTTTGATCGCGATGGTGATGGCTTCATATCACCAGCTGAACTCCGTTTCGTGATGATAAATCTGGGTGAAAAGGTCACCGATGAAGAGATAGACGAAATGATTCGTGAGGCTGATTTCGATGGCGACGGCATGATCAATTACGAGGAATTCGTCTGGATGATCAGCCAGAAATAGTTTGAGTTTTTAAAATATTAATAAAAATTAATGGGGTGCACTGCAAAAATTCTTGATAATTTTATTTTAAAGGTTTTTATGAGTTTTTCCTAAAACAAATGCCAATTAAAATAACCGAAATATCCACCAAGTGTCGTTCTTATTAATCGAAACAATTCTAAAAACAACCTTCATTCTTGCAATTAAATTTTGCGGTCTGCTAGTTAATCCTTTGCCTAATTCAGAGACCAGGAGTCTCTCGAGCATGTCCTTCTACTCATAACAATTTTTGATGAAAGCACACCATTTCCGTAATTGTGGTTGGTTTTAAGGAATTTTTGCCTCGCCTTCAGGTGAAAACTTTCAGCATGAAGCACTCTCAGTGGTTTTAGTCCGCCTTTTCGTTTCCCTGGCAAGTGGTTTCTGCTTCCACATGCGGCACCTTTGTGGCCAGACGAGCAATTTTCCTGTTGCTTAAATTCAATTTGCTTATGCATTAAAATTAAATTTTACTGTGGCCTCAACGGCCCAGGTTCATTCTCCTTGCTGGAGAACCTCTTGGGGCCGAGGCTCGTGTCTGGCTTTATAAATATTTCGTGTGTATTCTGTACACGCATATGAACGTTCCAATTTTTTTTTTTTTCGTGAGGTGGAGGGGTACAAGTTTCGGTTTCAGTTTTCAGACATGTCAAAATGCCAAGTTGCTTAATTGAGAGAGTCCAGAAAACAACGAGACCCGAATCGAAACCTTAACTGCAATGTACATCCGCATGGAATAAGAACAAAAGTCCAACCAGATTCCAATTTCAGATCTGACATCAATAAGCACTTACAGTGGCATAAATATTATATATACTCGAGAGCTGGCAAATATATGTGTCTATATGCGGTTCAAACACCAGAACGACATCGGCACTTCGCCACCTCACCGCATAGACGAGGAGTTGGTTTTCGGTTTCCAGTTTTCAGTTTTCAGTTAGCAGAAGGCACAGGACATGTTCGATAGACTGGCTGCGGAGGAAATTGAATTTGTGGCCAGGATAGTCCATCGTGATGGTGTGTGTGGGGCACTGCAATACCGAGGGCAGGATATTTGAGTGGCAAGTAAATCAAAAATAAGAAAGAAATCACATCGTATCCAGGAGTTTTCTTTGAGTTTGTTTTCATTGTCTTCTCCAGCGCCTTTAGCATTAAATTCCATAAAGTTCAGCACTAAAAACTATGCATTCTGTTTCCCATCAGAGCATTCTAACTTCGTTTTGGGTTGATACATTCTTTACACTAAGAAAAAAACAACATTTATAAGGCTCTCATAACTATTGCCTTTAGATCTCTAGTTTGCCTTTCAAATTTGTAATAAAAATCACCAGAACAAGGTTTATTTTAAATTAACTTTTCACTTCTACCATTTATATTTATTATAATTTTTTTAGTGCATGGAAAAATAGCAGGCATTCTGCAGGCAAAATGCTCATGCACATCGATTTCTTCTAGAAGACTCTTTTTATGCGGTTTGCCGCCCACTTTGCCCACACTCAGAGTGTCATTTTTTGGGTGGGCATGTGATGCGTGCAGAGATGTGGAATGGGGATTGGTATGGAACACTTTCGCACAGGCACTTGAATACGCAAAAAGGCGAATGCAAGTGACGAGGTCCATGGACAAGGCCGAGTGTGTCCTGCTTGAAATCCGGACTTTTATGCCAGGGGACGACTTTGGTGAGCCCCCACTTTCTCGACGAGTTTCAACTGTGGTCCCGGCCACATATACACACAGTTTAAGCTGTTAAAGTTATCTGTTATCTCTAATTGAGAGAGAAATGTGAGTGTGTGCGTGTTGGGGAGCTTAAATTTTAAGTTGTTGATTTTATTACGCATACGCCTAGTGGCTGCGATGCTAGGGTCCCTTTTTTCTGTGGCCATAACAAACTTACCCGCTTAATGGCCCAGCTTTCTCGAGCCCTCAATGAAATGGTTAGCGGGGTGAGGGTAAAGCCGGGCCTTTCGTCATGGGAAGCCGGCAAAAACCATTTTCGGATTAACAGATCAACGCACAAATGACCCGAGCAATCGTCTTGGGTTTTCCCAGTTTCTCAGTTCCCTGTTTTTCTTTCCTGATTTCTCTCCTCCTTTTTTGTAGCTGCCATTTCGATAAGGCTGAAAGCTTATCAGGACTGAAGGACTTTGACGACCCAATTAATTCTTGTTCAACAACAGGCCGAAAAAAAAATGTTGCCACATGCATTGTTAGTCTACTTTTCATGTCAGGGAAAAGCGAGGGCGCACGAAAAAAAAATAAGAAAACTAAGTGAATAAAGTACAAAAGAAAATAAAAATGAGAAACTCAAGAACGTTAAGTTAAATTGCGCGGAAAAGTTATGCAACCCTGCTACCCAGAGTTTTTCTAACAAAAAAGAAAAACTTTGTTAAACATTTTGTTCCCTAGAACGCTCGCCACGTTGGCTTAGCGGAACTACTTGAAATGTAAAAATGTTCAAGCCGGAGCTGAAAAGGCAAACTTGGCAGTAACTTTCAAGGCTCACATAATTATGCGCATTGCTTCGACACCGATCCTGTGCTACATCGTCCTCTGTCACCTGCTCCTGATCACGTCCAGTCACCCAGCCAGCTACCAACGTTCTCCGAATTGCCAGCAGCAGTCTAGATCTCAAGGTCGGGACCATTCAGAGGATCTCAATATGGGCCTGAGACATGGCAACTCCAAACAAACGGCATCGAATATTGCTCAAAAGGCTGCCCAGGAAGCCAAGAAGGCGTCGGATACTCAGGCACCAGCTGCGTTGGCCGCTGCCCGCCAGGTAAAACACCAGCTGGCCGAGAAAGCTATCTCTGCGGCCAAGGCAGCTGAGGCTGCGCTGGCGGGAAAACAACAGATTCTCGAGCAGCTCCAAGATGAAGTGCATGAAGCGGAGATTATTGTCCAGGAGGAGAGCTACTCTTTGGTTGGATCACAGGTATGAGGTATTTAAACTTACAAATCTGTACTTGTCTTATAATTTTAACCTAACTCTTAGACAAATCTCAATGCCGCTGTTGCCACTGCGAAACAGGCTCAGACTCTGTTGCAATCCCTTCGAAACGCAGTGAAAATCGCCGAGGATGCCGTGAGCAATGCAGAGGCAGCTGCATCCGGTGCCAGGCAGGAGCTGTGCGAAAAGAACCAACTGGTGGATACCGCTCGCCAGAGGTCGGAGATGCTGATGCAGCAGCTGCGTTCCGCCAAATTGGACTACACCAATACCAAGAGAGCAGCTTACAAGGCTGCCTGTGCCGCCTCTGAAGCCAAGCACAAAGCTGTACGTGATCGAAGATCCTCCGGGGAGGTATTGAAAGCAACTTCCGGTCATCAAATGCTACGGGAACAGGAGCAGCAGCAGCAGAATCAGAAACGGGATTTGGAACAGGAGCTAGAGGTTAAAGGTCAGGCGGAAGATTGGGAATACAACGAGCAGGGCAAAGCTATATATTCCAATTGAAAAAAGGTGTTTAAAGGGTAGCAGAAACCTTTTATGAACATTAATAAGATGTTTAAGTTATTGACAATGTTATTAAAATGTACGTTTTTTAAGGTTAACATATATATTTAATACAAAATTGTAAGGCGTAAGGTGTTATTACTTAGTTTTAGTTTTAATAAATCTTTAAAAAAACTGAAAAACTCACTTTCATATGCTAAAAACTGTATCATCATGGAGACCCAAGTTCCTTTACCCAAAAAAATACCATTCTGGGAACAACTTTATTTTAAAGTTCATCAGCAGCGTAACCCTCTTTTTGCCTTTTTGAATCGAGAGCGAGGAACATTGGAAGTTGCTCTGCCAAACGCCTTGGGGATTTCGTTATGTCAATCGAAGCGGTGGGAACCGCAGGACTCCAAAAAGGCAACATGACAGTGCCAAAAAAGGACACCAAACCCAATTGGCTTGTAAAACAATTTGACCAAAGCTATTTTGTTATAACTTTTCAGTTTTTTCTCTACTGTTTTCCTTTTTTTTTTTTTTTTCTTTTTGCTTTTCAGTTTTCTGTCTTTTTGGGAGAGTGACAGTGAATAAGGGCGTGACACAATGGGACGCATTACAAAAGTTTGGCACCACACGTTTTCAATAATGATTAGTTTTGGAATTCTCATCGGGGAATTGGCAAAGGATGAGCCAAGAACATTAAGTTTAAAGTTTTTGGGTTATCCACAAAGTTTGCTAAGATGAAATGGCAATAAATAAATGTTGGTTGTCAGCGTATTAATTGGGTCATCAGTTGTGAAATCGTGAAACTTGCCCCGAAAGCCAAAGGATTCGATCCGTAAAAAGCTCACCGGGGAGCGGTTAAAGTAACGATGCTGGTTTTTCGGTTATTTGTGGCGTCTATTTGGACACGAATTCCCAAAAGGCAAAAGAATACAAGCGATTGGTACTTGTGACAAGAGTTATCAGGCATCAACTAGCCATCGATGGAGGCTATCGCCGGTTCGGTTTATGATCTGGCCCAATAAAATCCATCTTAGATACCAAACTGAGCCCAAATAACTACCCAATTTATAGTTTGGCTACGTTTTAAGAGCCCTTGCCATCCGTCGTTGACAGGCCAACAAAAAGGGTTCAATTGAGAGGCAGGTTTTGTCTTTCTTGCCCGAGAATTTTATGGAGACTAGACCTATTGTTGCACTGAAAGAAAAAACAAGGATTTGAGAAAGAAAATTGAATTGATAAACGCTTTTAGAAAGATTTTAAGTCATTCCAGCCAACACTTAACTTTTATTTATTACATACATATCTTCATAAAGTTAACTTCTATTTGCCTTTCAATGAAAGTAGAAGGTTTTGGTTTCATCATTTCATACTATTTCATTGCCTTTCTCTCTCTGCAGACCGAAGTCAAGGCTTTTAGAGAGCATTAAGCCGCATGTGGCCAAATCATCACCGGAACAGGTCCATTTTACCCATTCCGGAGTCCGGGCATTCAGCTGCCACATGCCACATGCCCAACATTCCACTCGCCACAGCCATTCAGAATCCGGACGGAATATTTGCTGACACTTTAATGCCAAAGCAATCTGGCAAGTGTTGATCGCTCCAACAACTAAATAAACTACTACTAAAAGTCAGGCCCAGGCCTCCGCCATGTCCATGTCAGTCAACAGTATCAGCATAAACCACAATGCCACGCCCCCTCATCCAAATCCGAGTCCAGAGATTCCGAATTCGAATCGGTATCCAAATCCAAATGCCTGCCCCCCGGACACGCCTCGAACTCAACCAAGCACCGAAATGTATTCATTTCGGCACTCGAATTCACCAATTGCCAGTTTTTGTTATCCGGGGTCCGGTTTCCAATTTGCGTTCTTGCGTTTTTCGAGGGGAAACAAATCAAAACAAATGAAATGAAATCAATTCAATGAAGCAAATCAAATTTCATGCGTATTCCGTCGCTTTTCCCAGCTTTTCTCCCAGCCTCAATTGCTGGACAATAAAAATTTTGTTGGGCCTCGAAACCGAAAACGAAACCGAAACTGAGTAAAATCAAATCTGTTGTTGTTTTCCCGAAAAGTTGCGGGAAATATTGTATTTATGGTTGAGTTTTCTTTTCTGGTGGGGGATGGTTTTCTTTGGGAGGGAAATAGGCGTTAAGTGTGTGTGTATGGCAAAGACCATAAAAATCTCAGGGAACAACATAATTTGTGAAGTTTCCCCCCGTTTATTTCTCTAGCTTTTTCGATTGTGTGTGTGTGTGTGAGTGGCATGCAAATGAAAATCGACAATGGCAATTTCTGGGCCTTAAATTGACTTTTGAACAAACACAAATGTTGCTGAAACTCCAGGCAGTACAGGAAAAATACTTCGACTAGTCAAAATAGTCAATTTATTCTGCTCAGCTTGAGGCCCAGATATCATCGCATATCATTTACATTTTCACCTGGCGGCGGAGGCGGCGGCACCATCGCCACTGTGAAATTTCTCCATAGACCCATCCGGTAAAATTGTATCGCATTTACTATTCGCTTTAATGGGAAAAGGAGCCTCTGATATTTGCGCATTAATTTCATATCATTAAACATTTGCCCGGGTATTATTATTTACCAAATTGGATACTCCACTGCCAGCGTGGCAGGGCAGGGCGCCCTCAGTTAATTGGAAATGTATTCAGGTGGGATGGTGAATTTTGAGGGGGAATCATGGGTTAAGTGTTATGTACCTGGTTGCTTATTGAAATTTATGCGAACGGCGAACTCTGAATGGCGCAATGTGTTTGTTTAGTTCAATGACGGTTATTATATTTCCACTGATTAATTATTGGCAATGTTGTTCTGGTGGTGGCTATTAGCTTGATTAAAGGTTATGAATATGTTGATTAATTGCCCACTTAAAGGCTGATCTATGCCAAAACAAAACAATGTTTGGTTCATTTAAGTTCATTTATCATTGTGAAACTTTAAATGTTCTGCTAGGGGAGTTGATATTTACCCCATCAAACTCTCATTAAACAGTCTTTCCATTTTCTAAACTATTAAATTGAAAAAAAGAACAATAAAAGAGCAACTTCATTTAGAAATAATTTAACTTTATTGCTATTCCCATATGAGCACATATATTTCTTACACATGTTACCAAGCTTTTCCGCTGCCTAATAAATTGTGAGTCCCTTTGGTATGTATAACTTGCCTTATGTTTGAAACTTTCCCTTGGAAAACGTTACTTCTTCCTGGGGTTTTAATAAAAATCCTCTATAAAGGAAAACTTTGACGCTAAGCAAATGCACCCCAGTGGCAATGCTGAACTTTATAAAGAGTGAAATGGGCTAAGGGAAAATATTAATTTTCCGCAAACAGAGACAGCGAAAGGGTGTGCCCCTTTTTTTCTGCCACCCACACGAAAAACTATGAAAACTCATTTAACAACTTGCAGGGGGCAAAAAAAAAAAAAAAAGTACAAACCGAGGAAAAACACATCGCCAAATGCAAAACTTGTGTTGACACGACAACTGCCCCACCCTACGGTCCATCCTTCCAATCCTCTTCGCCAGGTGTATGCTGATGTCTCTACGGAAAAGTGGATTACGGCAAAGGTGACAGGAGGGCAGGACGCAGCAAGCAGCAGGATGCACTGAGCATGGTGGACAAAGTGTTGCCGTTGCCATTTCACTGACGGAGTGACAAACTTCGCACGTTGCACAAAAGACGCCGGCAAAACTTGAGCAGATTACTCAACGCACTTGGTTGGAGGAGATCTCGTTCCGCTCGCGGCTATATTCCTCTCATGCGCACCTCTTTTTTTTATGGGTAACACAAACCCGGTACTTAGTGAAAAGTGAAAAACCAGTGTAACAATGTTGAGCTTTTAACGGTAAATTGTTGCTAGAGCAAGAGACCAAAAGACAAAACTTTCTTTTTTCTCTTCTTGTTTTTTCCCGTTTTCCGAATGAAGAAACAACAAAGTTGAATGAGGTGAGCGGGTCGAAAGGTTGGGGGAGGGTGGTCTGGGTAAACGAAATGTGTCAAGTAAGTGCAATGCTTCAAGTTGAAATTTATGCAAAGTGCGCCAGTTTAGGGGACAAGTACTCCAACTGCCAACTGCTGGAACCAAAAACTTCCCTCCCACCTCTGAGCTCTTCCGCCCACCCAAAGGCACTTTCAATGCATTGTAATTTCAGTGCGAGAGCTCAACAGTCTGGGGAGCAAATTCCGAGCACTAACTGGAATTATTTGAAAAAGTTTTTCATAAAAAAATTAGGCTAAACGAATGCCCTTAAAGCAAATGTTAAATGCTCTAATGTTGAACTTACGTAAATAAAATTTTTTAATATTAAATTAAATAATGCATTGTCAGAGACATCATATTAAACAGGATATACTTTTGTAATTTCTCTTTTCATATTAAGAACATTTCTTTTATTAAAAAAATATTTAAGCCTTTGCAATTTAAGCCTTTTCTAACTTCAAACCCTATGATACCTTCCAAAAGAGTGTCGCCTTGAGAAATTCACCGCAATTCGCTAGACTTAATCACATTTTTTTGCTGCGCCAAACTTTTTAATAAGCAGCCAACAAATAGCTGCAACAGCAGCAGCTGCAACTGAAGGCCAGCTAATGGGCAAAAAACCCAAGCTAGTTTCCGACTTTAAGACAGGGGCTGCTAGGTGGTTTCCAAATTAAAGAGAAAAAGGACACTTTCTGGAAGGGACTTGCCCCTGGCTGTCAATTGTCCGCAACTTTCAGCCGAGGCCATCGTGTGGGGGAGCCAAAACCAATGAAATGCCGCACAACTGACACGCTGACTGACAGCCTAAGCGCTCCCACAGCTTCGATGGCTCCTTGGCCAGGATGTCCGCCAGCTTCTGCTGATTGCACTGAGGGAAATAAGTATGTGGAAAAAGATCATGAGAGATCGATAGCATATGAAATGGGAGAAAGAACGGAACTTTATAAAAGAAGGTCTTCAAAACCTTAGAACTTGCAATGTAATTGGTATTCTGTGTACATACAGCCTTTAGCTTTTAATGGCTCACATTCTGGTTAATATTTCCCTAAGTGCACTCCGGACTTGAGTCCAGCTGAAGCCCTCCGTCCGGCTGAGAATGAATGACATGCAAGTCTGTTGTGT